TATTTCAAATTAGGAAACTCACATCCAATGCTGATGTTGCATGTTGGATAATCATATGGCACACCTTTGTGGAGAAAATTGTCTTGGATTTCAGGGTTGAGACATTTACATGTCTTAGCGATCTCAGCCTTCTCTCTTAGTCTCTCGCATTGCTATTCGCAAGCACGTCAGTTGAATGAGAGAAAAAAGTAACAACCAAATAGTCACAGCATTTACAGCATTGATGGGGAGGGGGAGAGAAAGAGTATGCACGTTCAAACGTAAAACAGCGGAACTCTGCGGGTAGTGTCATCAATTATAGATTTGAGTTTACTCACGACTTGAGTGTAGTCGAGACTGGCATTTGGATTATCCATAGAATACGGTTTGTATTCTGTTTCATGCCAGTCCGAGAAACAGTCAGTGCTGTAGGGACTCTCCAGCCTGGACATGTTCACCTGAAAACGTTGAGGATGTTTGAGATGTATGACAGCCACCCCGAGGGACTCAGGCCGACGCTATGCAGGTACTCACAACTTGCAAGGCGAAGACATTGCGAGTGTTGGGTTGAACGATGTATCCCTGTTCCACGGGATTCGGCCATTCATTCGCGGAATGAATCGTTATGCGAGCTCCAACACTCGATGCTGACGGATTTCTCACGTAACTTACCTGATCTAAATATAATTCCAGCGACAAACCTGTCCTCGAAAACACGAAAGAGAGCATTTCGCCAAAAAATCCGACGAGAAAGATATGCCGCAGAGAAAGTCAGGATGACTGGTTAATTTGACCTGTTTCTTCTCCAGTTTTGCTTGCGATCCTCTTCCCTGCGGTTGAATCGTTTTGATTCCAGGCGGTGTTGAACATGAAGCATGTCCCATATTGTGGGAGCAGCATTTGTTTGAAATTCCTGCAAATGAAAAATTCACTATAGAGAATTACGTTTAAAATCATGTAGACCACTGGAACAGAACAGGGTTTATGGGAACAGGACACAGTGGAATACACGAGAAATTTTACTTCCTGTTCGTATAGAACAATTTGCACTTCGTATAGGAATCGTCTGTGGATTAGAATTCCTGATATAACAGAAACATCACGTGCCTGATCGTGACTTTTCAATTTCGTTTGTAGTATTATGAGAAAATAACAAAAAAATTGAGGTTCCAAATTATCAAAGACTCACTCTTGATGCAAACAGTCCGCACCTTGAAAGGTGCACTTCCAGACGAATCTATCCAACGAATTCACTATCTTTCGCTTCAGATTCTCATCCACTTTGGAAAAGGCTCCGAGCAAATTCACGTACTATGTATGTGAAGAGATATATATACTGCAAAGTGGTATCAGACAATATCATACAAGCATATAGGTCAACTTGCAGCAAACATGCAACTCACATTCAAGTAATCTTCGGTTGCATCCTTGCTGTCCTGTACTCCAAATCCGCGAAGTCCGTCCACATTTGAACTGCCCTGTAGACAGTGACAACATAAAATCAGGCAATCGGACCATTATGGAAATCGAAGTCGTGTAAAGGAAAAGACCTTTTCCTTAATTGTCGCATTCAGTTTACTCACGTTTCCATTGCTACTGGCATTCACTGAAGTGGTTGATGCAACAACAACCGGATTAGTGCTGGCTTGTGTCGTGCCGGACGTGAGGTCTCCTTTACCTGCATTTTATAATCCAAGGAGATACACCTGTTGGGACTTCTATTAAATTTCTAGGAAAAATGATCCAGATGATTTAAGCGTACCCATCATGTACGCTATGAGGACGTCAAAGGCCCTGCTGCCATTCCTAGCCTTGAACTCCACCGGTGCCACATACAATAGACTCTTGAGAAGTGAATCCAATCGAGAATTCTTATTTGTTCCAGACATCAAGTTCAGGAGTGGCAAATTATTTGTATATGTGTAGCCTTGATCCACGATAGTAAGTGCCAGTTCGGTCGTGTTCACCACCTCTTGTAAATACCTACAACATTGCAGCAATCGTCTCTAGGCAGAGAGATATTTCGTGAACCACAAATTAATCGAACTTGAAAAATGGTAAATTTAATTTTCTTTTCTGCTACTACTACTTGATGTCTCGTGTCAGAGCACGAAAACAACGTGGTTGTGGTGGTTGCTGCGTTTCCAATTTAAAGATTGCTAACCAAAAACACAAATATTTTTTCTATTACTACGGCGCACATGCTTTATAGTTTTGGGGGTTCAAATAGTGCCAGGTAAATACCCATTGAGTCCATTCTTTAGTTCCTCTGCATTCCAATTCGATGAATTGAGCCAAGAGACTGGGACGAGCATAAGGGCTTCTATCCTGCATCCGGATACATTCCATAACTCGGGAAGCAAATCTCGGAGCTGGCCCAGTTTGTAGCAGACGATGGGATTGGAGTTGCAGACGGTGACGGCAGGGAAAGCCATTTTTCGTGCGTGGCTCATGGACACGTATGTAATGACTGGGTAAGAGAGGTAATCCACCACCACTAGGTACGTACAGTATATTGTCACCACCGTCCCGGCAAGGAACATCGCTATCCACATCTAAGATAAAATTTAAAAAAAAGTGTACATTGTCTGAGTAGGTAGCAGTGTCATTGGCAGCTTATCCACATGCATGTCATTATTCGTAAATATACAGGGCGAGGAAGATTAGAGAATCCTCTTTTAATTACTTAAAACTTTAACAATGAGAAATTTGAGTAGAAATTATGCGCAGTATCCCATAATTTTTTAAGGATATCAATATTAATTGTATAAATATTTAAAATTAATCTTTTTTTATTATAAATTCCGACCATTGAATTCCTGTAGTCATCTCTGGGTGATGCCCACCACGAGTATTCATCTTCCTACGTTCATAAAGCTTGCCTATGAATGCATATGAATACTTGCATATGAATGGCATTTTCCTACTCGATGGTTTTCCATTGCAGAGTTCTGTTTTCTCACTTCGTTCCTGTAGTGAAGAATAATTTTTATATTTATACCTGCGAGTAGAAATATATCAATGGGGGCAATCAAACTCGTAATGGTCGCGCCTTCTGCGCTCCATTACTAGGATATTGATTAAGGGTGGATATTTTAACAGAGGATTATCCGATACTGCAGCTTTATTCCAAGGAAAATACATATTTACTGGAAATAAAGCTCCATTACGGAATAGTTCTCTGTACAAGAATCCACCCCAAGTCATTTGCAATGTCCGTTTTGACCAAGTTGGTAAAACTCCTAGAGTCTCATAGGCATATTTATAGCTCTGTCAAGTTACTTCCTATTATGCCATTGGCAAAGAAACGGAGATCTTTAGCTTTTTAAAATAGTCGCACCGATAGGTACTTCTGTATGGGATTTTAGCCATCTATACCCGCTCGAATCGTTTGGGGTAAAAGTTTATTTGAAACGTGATGCATAAAAATATACTTGTCGCGTTGAAATGGAACTAAAATAACAGGAATTTCCCTGGAATATTCCTTTTTAGATCAGCTTAAGGGAATTTCAGCTTTCTGAATCTGCCTCCTTACTGGAAGAATTAAAGTAAAGTAAAATGTCCCCATCGATATGTTTGCGCTTATGTTTCAGTCTCTATCTTCGTTTCTTTGAGAGGGAACATTTTTGGGAATGGGGAAAGGAGGGACAAAACGGGCGGTTTAGAAAAATTGCCAACATGTTGTACCAAAGAATAGGCGTAGCGAATTACAGATTGGTATGCGGCACCTTTCATGTCTCACCTACGACTAGGATTCAACTTTATCGCGAAATCGGCGACGGTTTTTTTCCCCGACAATTCTAAAAAATGGTCTACCCCCCCCCCCCCCCCCCCCCCTTCGGGGAGGTTGTGCCCCTCGCCTCATTTTGCCTAATCTTCCCCTACCTGTGTTTTTAAAAAATAAGGTCCCTGTGGGGATGTACCTTAAGAAGAGAAAATATATTAGAATATGTATCCTCAGAACTGCAAGATTACCAATTATCAGTTATCTATTTATCCACTTTGAAGCTTCTTGCATCGAAAATCCCTTAAAGAAAAAGCCCTTCGTGATTAACCTCGCAATTAAACATGTTAATTATATTACTATCGAGAGAAGCACTTGTGAACCAATTTTCAGCTTCCAATAATTACGTTTTCCAAAGTGGCAAAACTTATTTAGAGCACATCCCTGTCGAAATATGTGCCATGAGGAGACATAATCGCGATTAATGTTAAAATTATTACTCCTATGATGTCTTATGTGCCTAACTTAATATGGTCTCTTAATATATTCCCATTTGTCAGAGCGAAAAAAAAACTTGAAATACTTCCCTCCCATAAGCTGCCCCGAGGAGACATATTTCAAAAGTAGGTTTCATCTTTACTCAGCGATCCATGAGCTACTTCTCCGCCAATATTGAACTTTCTATCGGCCTCTGTTTTCTTAGATAAAAAGCGATTTCGGAAAATGCACCTCATGCGGAAAATGCGCCTTGAGTGGTTTACCTATAGAAAAAGTAATAATTCCACGGAAATCAGTACAGTTCCAGAGTACAATCTGGAGAACTACATACCCACCAAGTTTCAGTCTTATATGTTTGCTCCTTTTGCTGGTGCAGAAATATCGTCGGAAAAGCTAACCAACACAAAGGCTGTGCCCTGAGGACATTCACCACCAAAGTTGAATTTTCCCCGAACATAATGTCAGTTACGCCTGTGCCAAGTTTCACACTTTCCATATCTGCCTATTTCAATAGGACCAAAAAAATATTTTTTGAAAACGTCTCCCCCAAATAATATAACCCCGGGGGATGTATCGGGAACTTTACTCAGTAGGCACTACTGAGACACCAAGTTCAGAGAAAACGTTCATGCCAAGTTTTAGCTTTCCGTGCCTCTCCGTTTGACTGAAGCAAAAATATTTATTTGAAAACATCTCCGAAAATGTGTGTCGCAGGACATTTGCTTCCAAAGTCGGATTTCTCTGAACTCGGCATCCCAATACCCAAGTTCATTAACCAAGATTCAACTCACGTTGAATCAACGTTGATTCAACATTTGCTTATCAACGTTGACTCAATATTGAAAACTCATTTTCCTCAACGTTGAAGAAATGTTGAATCCACGATGGTTCAACGTAGATATGACAGGTCTCAACTATCTCTTTAATTCGTGTGCTTGCGCCGTTTCAGGACTAAAGTATTATCGAATTTCATCTGGACACGATCTCCGTCCTCCGAATCCTCTTTTCTAAGAGTATCCCCCATTCAAGGACAATACGTTCCTAATACCGAGATGAGGAAGAGACATCTTGCTCCCCCGGAATCAAGAGGACACCCGCGTGATTACTGGGAATAAGAGGCTACCCGCACTTCACGTATCCTTCGGCAGCGAACATGATTTAGATTCATCCTCATCGTGGTCTCATGGAGTGACATGACCTCGCAAAATTTTTTGTGTCTATCACCCTGCTCAGAATTATCCTGGATCCTGTTTGGTTGGATTGCCACTTTGGTCGAATATGTAATGGCAAGTAGTCGCCATCACGTTTCGCAGTCATGAAATCTTGTTTGCTTGCATGTCTCGCTAGATGTCTCGCCTGACACCTGTTGATGTAACGTTGACCGGACAACGTTCTTGCAATATTGCTCTTTTCGACATCGAATCAATGCTAAAAGATCGATGCCATACGAAAGCCTATTTTTTAATTAACATATAAGCAATGCTGACGCAGGCGAAGTTGTCACGTGAGAGCATCCATTCTTTGGATAACCTATAGTACTTCGATATCCCAGCAAACATACTAACATCATCAATCATCATTCAATCAGCGTTGTATGAACGTTAATTTTGAACCTTCCAAGTGTTTGGTTGGCGTTGCAGCTAACATTAAGTCACTATTGCAATGTCACGTCAACGTTCATCTGAGTGTTCCGATAATTGGAACACTCAGATGAACGTTGAGCCAATATTGCAATGTCACTTATTTGAACCCTCACTCCCACCCTTGTAGCATTCCATAATTGGTCAATAATGAAGGCAATGGATTAAATATTATTCTGAAAGTATTAATCTTAGTACTTTACAGAGAACGGCTATCCCCTTTTTGCTCTGTGGAGTACAGAAATCCTCCTTCCCTTCGCTGGGAGTGGAAAAATAATTCTTCCTCTCAAGTACGGAGAATAGAGCCAATGTATATAATCGAGTTTGTTAAAACTCTTTCTTAGGTAATTGTGCACTGGGATGCAAGGGTTTCCCATAAGGAGTATGAGCTTATTTATTGCCTGGGCTCCATGTTTCTGTCTCGAATATATATTATAAATTATATAAGTGTCCGATTTTATTGACTGTTATAATGAGACAATGAAAAACATATGGTGAGGAAATAAACACTCCTGTGAGGGATGTTTCCATGGAAAGAGGGAAGTGTACTTTTGTGTACTGTGCGATAAGCGAGATTCATTCCTCCATCTAGTAGCCAAGATGAGAACTTCAGCATTTCCTCAAAATTAACTCCTCCGTGGAAATTGGGCTCATTGGATCATCGCGTCAGTTTGATATTGCATCGATGATGGAATGGCAAAATTGGGAAGCCAGTATTGAGCCAATATTTAGCCGGTATTGGCAATAATGGCAAGATGCATGTAGACATCGTGCCCAATGTTGGTTCAGCATTCACCCAATATCTGATATTACTGGGGTAGTAACATTGGAAAGGTTCTTTGTCGTTTTGTGAAATAATTTTTTTCCCTATTTGGCGATGCATATTCCATGATACTACCATAAATATTATTTTAAAAATGCGATTTAAGAAGGTATCATAATGCCATAACACTGCTACAATATTACTAATCACTGCTACTTATCATCTTCCATTCTTGGATGCCTAATGAGTTCCCAGGAATAATGTAAAAACAATATCAATTCTTCTATCGTCCATTCGTCATTCAGTGGCGTTAGTTTACCGGGTAGACGAGACCTACCTACCAATTCATTAATATATTATTATTGATGTGGTAGCATTCGTCCAGTCATCCAGATTCTCATCGTTCGACTTGCCGTGACATGGCCTAATGTGAAGGAACACTATATAACTCGACCTCGAACTTCAGAAAAAAGGAGGAGGAGGAGGAGGAGGTGAGAGGACAGAGTAAGAATCAGCGTAGAATTAGCATGTCACTCAGTCACGATCGTCTGCTGTATGTGAGACAAAAAAAACGCGCCGCTTTTTGAGATTCTTTGGAATTCATGAAAGAGCAGGCCAAAAAAAAATTTTCTACGACTTCTACGTATCCTTTAAACGTCTTTAAATTTTTAATCATTTTACTCCAGTCGTTTCATCGCAGGAGCGAAAACGCGAAGGCAACTCGAATTTTATTTGTGCGCGATGAAATACAGCAGCGGAAGAGTAGTTGGAACGCGTGGAGAGCACCAATCTTGAGCCAGAGCTCCTCTGTCTCCTCATAAAGATGCTGATATTTGCGAAGTGATGGGAGGAGATAAATTTTGCAAAAATTTTCTGGGAAATGATGGAAGGAATGAATCCATATCCCGATTGGCTGGAGTTGAGATTGATTCGCAAACTGCGAGAAACCGGTTATCTGAGAGGAAAAGAAGGAGCGAAAGCCAAGAACTACCCGGAAATGAAAGAAAACTGCTTTCATGCGTAAGGAGTCATTGTTAATAATGATAATCCTAGGATGCCAGAAATCCCCATCTGCAAATTGCCAGACGGAAGGACGAGTCAGAAACCTACTCAGCGGATTCTGAAGTACAGAGGAAAAAAACCCTTGATAAGAATTGTGAGTTGGACCGGTCCTCCAGTCGGCGTCCAGGAGGGAGGGCAAAAATAAGATTCCAGTTGCTTTTGTGAAATCACTCGTGTGCTAAAACGGTTAGAGATAAACGGGCCAAAATTATTAGAAGCTCAAAGGATGCATAGAGGTATGTATGAAGTAATCCTTGTCGTTCTATTTGCTGTTCCAAAAGCGCAATAAAATTTTGAAAAAGTGGCGCGTTTTTGTGGCTCGCCCGGTATATTAGATATAGGAGAAATATTCTTTAAATGTACAAGAGAAAAAACTTCTCGTGTTCAATTTAACTGTCAAGGGCGTTCCAATTTTTATTTTTCCTGACTTTGCTCCATGGGGTCAAGTTTAATTTTCCTTTAAGCTTAAATCAAAACACTAAAAATCAAAGGAATTGTTTGCCTGCATTATAGCCTATGGATCAAAATTGCATTCTCTTCCTCGGCCCTTATAGGAAACCCGACAGATTGCTTGTTGACGAAATGCAATACTCACCGCTTGAATAAAGGGATTTGTATGATGCCTGGCATTGGTGAGTCCAGGGAGGGTGCTGGAAAGCCAGAAATTGTGGCAGCTCCCTCTGATGGTCTTCCACAAGGACTTCTTCGAACTCGGCTCATTGAAGTGGAGTTTTCGACTGTAGCCATCCATCATGTGATTTCCCTTGGGTATTACCCTCCTATTGCTATTGCATCCGTGCAGGTAAGACTACTCCGCATAGGATTCACCAGTATTCCTTAGACAAACTCACGCGACCAGCCAACCATCATAGATAACATCGATCGACGATGATTGGAAGGCGTTCAGGGAGGTCTCCTTGGACAGAATAACAGGCACGCCAAAGCACACTTCTCTGCAGTCTTTCTTTTATCCTGCACGCAAGTAAAAAGGTACTCATAACTAATGCATGATGAAAGCTTGCAGTTGTAAAGATCATGTTTTGATGATCGCATGGATTCATGGATTGATAGAACCTCATGAGAAAACAACTCCAGACATTATGATTCAACGTTTACCATGTTATGTTGTCATTGGCATTCTGGTTGCATTCCACTTCCCTATAAATGGGAATGGGTACCCCAAGGAACCCAGGAACATGGTACTACAATAACAATAAACCCTGTTAAAACATGTGACCATATTCAGTACTTTTTGGTGACTAGGTCTGACATACCCATTTAGGCAGAAAATCGCTCAGTAAATGTGACTGAACCTTTTCTACGAAAGATAACATTGGCACAGGGAATTTCATTTTTATTCATATTGACCTATAAAATGATCTTCAAAGTCAAAATTTAAAATGGACGACTAGTTTCGCTAATTAACTTGGTCTTCTGCATCTTACAAGAAGCTGCTATTGCGGACAAAATTAATGAACCTCATTATTTACTTGGTTTAATGTTTATTCTGTTGCAACTGTCTTGGACATTCAATATACATTTTTCCTATCCAAGGGGGGAAAGGAGTTCAAGCTTCATGGGACTTTTCCAACTTCGCCAAATGAGTGGTGCAAATAAGAGTAACATTCGTAAGTGAATGCATAAGTATCGGTGCACCGGAAATGATAAATTTAGGTATACCATGGTGCTAGTATGCAGGACTTGACAAATACTTATCCATTAACACTACCAAAACCTGAGAAAGTACAGGTTATAGGGAAACTTGTTCTTTGAGAACCTTGTACGAAAGGTACTCAAAGAACAAGAACAAGAAAAGGAACCAAGATTCAAGCGCATCCGAAACTCAGAGAGTGTTGCGTCAAAAAAGACAGTTGAAAACTGGACAACCGGGCACATTATTATGCGAGTTGTCTCCCTACGGCGCAATCCTTATACCGAACGTCATTGAGCTGCAGAAAAATTCTGGGCTTTCCCAGAAAGCCAATTATGAAAATGCTGAAAGAAGATTGTGTTTCATGTTACACTTCATGACTAAACTTTCGACTTTCGCACAAATTTCACTTCGCACGAAGTGTTTTCCAAAGAAGTAATGTCACGTCGTTCGATGCATCAAATAGATTAAAGTGAAGCTGAATATTACATTGCAATATTGCGAACAACCATTAGGGAACCACGTAAAAACGCAGAGATTTAGGAAGTGGAACAATTAAGCTTGACAATCCCATTCTTGTGAAATATCTATAGACCTACTGAGTCTTCTGCTCCAATGCTTCGCTCGCATCGAACGGTAAAGACCACAGATCACACGGTCAACGGAGGGAGGATGGGACGGGGTAGTGCAAGCTGTGTGAGTCAGCGGGGAGAGAAGGTCCGTGTCGCTTTCGCACGTTCCCCCCCGAGTGATCCAGGTTTGTCTCAGCCGGGTGCCTGGGCCGTGCCCAATGCTCCTTCATCTCTTTTTCCCCCGAATCCGTTCCGAAGAAGTAGCGGATTATGTCCGAGAAGAGGAGGACGAGGAATTCCAGGATCTCGATGAGCATCACAGCACAAATCCCCAAGTATATCCCGAAGACTCCGCCCAGGTTGCTAATGAGTCCATTCAACTAGCCCAATCATTTTGAGCCTTTTTAGTCAGTCTCCTCATGTACATTCTACCCTATTTCGTCGATGCTTCTTACATCGTATTTGGGTTGTTCCTGGATCACTTGGATGTTGAGGGACCGAAAAAAGACCTCCACCTTCAGCACCTCTTTCCGGAACTGTTCCGTTACCTTATTGAACTCCTCTGTGCCGCGAAGCGAGGAGAGGGCACCATCCAGTCCTTGCTTGACAACCGCAAGGGCCACCAAATTGCTCTGGTGAGACCAATAATAGCCATTTTCAGCGTTTCGTGAGCGAATCCCTTGAATAAGCAGAGGACAAATCCTTACGAAATAGCTCTCTGAAGGCCAATACGATGTGGACGACGAGACGTCGTACGATATCTCCCTGAAAAGAACGTCCAACAGATTCGATCGGTTTTACCATCGAGATGGTAAAAGAGATCTGGATGGTAAAAGAGATCTAAGAGAGACCTGGGCAAATGGAGAAATTTGGCTCGGCTTGAAGGCCGAAAGTCGGTCGGACATAAAATCAAGCCGAATGGCAAACACGCACAAATAAAACTATTACGAAATACGGAGTTCCGGTAGGCACGTTACACGATATGGTTGCCAAAGCAATCCACTTTGACAATGTTGAATCAGGTGGTAATCGCTGACGACAGACCAGGAAATAAATAGCTGCAGAGTTTTCCTAGATGATACCTGAATATTTAATTGTAGCCAATATAGTGTTCCAAGATTGTTGGATGGAATCAAACACCGAAGAAGCGAACTCGTCTTCCTGCGATTTTAACGCATTTCGTTCATCTTACTCTCGACTTCATCGCAGATTTCTTTCATACTCACTGATATACCGAATTCCAGATTTTTATCATTTCCTAATAGACGCTACGTACGGTGGCGGAGCAAGTACGTGTTAAACGTCGGGTCAAGACCTATTCGCGATCAGATGTGCCGTGTCTCGAGAAGCCATACAAGAAATTCAAAAAGATTATTACATTCATGTAATTTCTATCACATGACACTTAGGAAATGAAAAATGTGTCCGGCATGAAGAATGCTCTTCAAGGTGCTTGCTGACCAAGAGCTTCACTACCACTCCTTTGCGTATTCCCTAACCACCCCCGTGAAAGCAGCTGAAAAGACTCACTGGCAAGGAGACCTGCAGGCGGATGCCTCCATTTGGAGGATCATACCCACTTCCACCATGCATTTCTGGTCTTCGGCTGGAAATAAACATCTGTGTCTCAGAACGTGTTCGGCCAGAAGGATTCTTTAGTTTCCTTGTGTAAAGACCTCACTTCCAATGCTGATGTTGCATTTATGATAGCGCAGGTAGGATACCCCATCGTGAAGAAAATTGTCCTGGATTCCAGGGTCGAGACATTTGCATGTCTTGGCAATCTCGGCTGCCGTTCTCAGCCTCTCACATTGCTACGAAAAAGAAGGAATTTTTATTTATTTCGATAACAAATTGAATATTCCTTTCCCATCGTTTGATGCTTTACAGACTTTCTCGCTCATGGTGTGGCACCGAATTGAATAATTTAGGATGACTCACAACCAGGGAGTAGCCGAGGGTACCATTCGGATTATCCAAATAAGGAAAAGGCCTGTAGTCAGTTTGATTCCAATCAGAGAAGCAGTCTGTGCTGTAGGGACTCTTCAATCTGGACATGTTCACCTGAAATCGTGATGTGTGAAATCTACTGGGGAAACAGACCGAAAAGGCCAGGCAGTTGAAATCCTCACTGCTTGTAATGCGAAAACATTGCGAGTGTTGGGCTGAACGATGTATCCCTGTTCAATGGGATTCGGCCATTCGTTTGGGGAATGAATGGTGACTATGGCTCCAACGCTTGATGCAACTGAGCTCTTGATATAATCCGTTTGATCCACGAACAGCTCCAGAGATAAACCTGGTCGCAAATGCAACGAACGAATAAAAAATCGAAGATGCCGGGTAAGAAAGAGGAATAAAAACCATTCGAATCATGTTAACCTGTTTCGTCTCCTGTTTTGCTTGATACCCTCTTCCCTCCACTTGGATCTTTTGGATTCCAGGCTGTGTTGAACATGTAGCAGTTCCCATATTGTGGGATCAGCACCACCTGGAAGTTTCTGAACAAATTTCTCTTATGAGTGTGGGTGGGGTTTAGGTGCTCCAATAATTAGAAGCTCTAATAATTGTGCATCGATATGGAATTTCCAGCAACTCTGTGAATATAAGAGATTTTTGGGGTATTTTGTAGAGCATGCGTCATCAGGAGAATGGAGTTCAGCCACTACAGCCTTGCGACTAGAGCATAACGTAATATGTCGAGCGCCAGGGATAACTCAAACACTCTCACACAAATGCTTAGAAAGTCGCCTTTGTTTTTTTTTTGTGAGTGCCTGCACCATCTGATATAATTTCATCTCATTTCCAAACATGCAAAGTACTGGCAGTGCCAGGACAAACATCAAGGTGAGGCAAAGATGCAAAGACTCACTCATCCTGCAAGCAGTCGGCGCCTTGGAAAGTGCATTTCCAGACGAACCAGGACAACGAATTCACTATCATCTCCTTCAATGTCTTATCTGTGTTTGAGAACGCTTCCAGCAGCTTCACGTACTACGCTTTTATAAATAAATAAAATTAGAGCTTGTCTAATTTTAATATTCTGTTTCAGATAAATAAAATTCTTCGTTTTGTCACTTTTTCCCTCTTTTTTTCCCTCCCGTCTCTCCGCAGCAACCACAGCGACCGGACAACAAAACCCAATACGTAAGCACAACTACCAGTCTGAGTCAGGGTGCCGTCAACCACGAAAACATCCATTTCCCTTCCAGCCCTCGCGGTTGACGGATCCATAATAGACTATGGGGGGAAAGCGGTCGCTACCGGCCGCATAGACAGCGTTACTGAGCGTACGTGTAAAATGTTGCATCTGTCATCCTGCACTTCATACTCTCCTCCTTATCTTCACGCGACGCGGACGCGCAGACCGTCGGAAACACGTCTAGTTGCCTAGGACTTTCTATATTGGCGTATGCCGTACCAATTTGTTTTTAAGTATTTCTAGGTTGGATGCTGAGAATGCGGGGAAGAATTTCAGTGGAATGTCAGATCGGTATCTTGGTTGGTACTCTCTAGATTTACATTCCTATGAATATCGTAATGTAGAAACACGATGAGACTCGCATCCAAATACTCGTCGGTGGCAGCGGAACTGTTCTCCACTCCGAATCCATGAGTTACATCAACACCTCCTGTTACGTTCTGTGACAATGGAGATCTCTTCCTCTAAAAAAAAAAAAAAAAAAAAAAAACATTGATACTATTAGTAATTGCCCGGGTTACTGGTTGAAACGTTATGCATTGAAAGAAAACTTGCCCTCAGTGTAGAATTTTGATTTGCCACTGTTTCGTTGATCGCGTTCGCCGTGGTGGTCGATGAGACATTGGCATTGCTGGCATTCGGTGTCGTGTTGGATGTGAGACTCCCAGCTTTTTCAACACAGAAAATAGAATAAAATAAATTTTTAGTCCTTACGAAATTCTTTGAGACTCAATCAGTAAAATGCAAATACCGCTCAAGATGGACATGAGAACGTCAAACGCTTTGCTGCCGTTCCTAGCCCTGAACTCCGCCGGTGCTGCATACAAGAGACCCTTCAGAAGTGAATCCAATAGAGATTGCGTGGGAATTATATTCAAAAGAGGCATATTCGCGGTATACTCGTAGCCTTTGTGAACCACCATGGCTATCAGCTTCGTCATGTTCGCCGTGGTCAGGTACCTGCGACACAAAAAAGACCGGCTTCACACAGAGACTTCGTAGTGAATCACCCATAAAAATCGACTGTGTTTATAAACCGGTAATCATATGCTCCCTCTTTGTTAGTGAGACAGCTCCCCCTTGAGGCTATTCGACTTGTTTTTTGAATTAACAAAGCTATCCTGTTAGCAACCGACACAGAAGAAAATAAACTTGAACGCTAAGTATGATGTGGAACTAAATTGCTCGATGATATCTTTCGGAAGAACGCCAGGTAAAAATCGGCAGTGATCCTCCCCAATGCGGACACATGCTTTACGATATTTCAAATTAGCCATCGATCATAGCTAATTTCATATCAGGAGCTAATTTCATACCCATCGAGTGCTTTCTTGATATCCTCGCGACGAATTTCCGGCGACAAGAGCCATTGGACGGGAAGAAACCACACGGCGTCGATCGTGCATCCAGATGCATCCCACAGCACGGGGAGGACATCCCTGAGTTGGGCCAGGTTGTAGCAGTTGATGGGATTGGAGTTGCAGACGGTGACGGCAGGGAAGGCCATCCTTCGTGCGTGGTCCATGGATACGTACGTGATGACGGGGTAGGAGAGGTAGTCCGTCACTGCTTCTTGCACTGAGTTCACCGTCAGTGCCACCCCGACAAGGAATACCGCTATCCACATCTAAGACAGGAATATTTACATTAAAAAAGTACGTTTGCTACGAAGAACCGAAACTCGGGTATCGTTTTCAAAGATGACTCAGCTGCCAGGCATCCAGGATCCTGGAATAACGGTAACTCATCTGATAAGGATGGTTGCCAAAGCGAAAACTGGATGACATCTAAAAAAAAATGCAAGTGACCTCGAAGCAATAGCAAAACTTGACTGATACCGGAAGGAAAGTTTTCTTGGCCTCAAAATCAAAATGGCTTTTTCATTTTGATTTAATTACATTCGATGCACATGACAGTTAATGAACACATGGGTGGCACATAAACCATTGCAAATTGGTCCACCTTCTAAAAAACGTGGATATGTTTGCCCGTGAGCCATGAAATTCAGGACTCTGCATGTAAATCCTATTTCACACGGAACGACGACTTCATGAGGAAATGACGAAACTCACCCATCGGAGAATGTGATTATTGCTACGCCTGGCCGAGTCGAGCCCTGGGAGGGTGCTGGTGAGCCAGAAATTGTGGCAGCTTCCCTTGACGGTCCTCCACAGGGACTTCTTCGACCTCCTCCCTCCGAAGGGGAGCTCTCGATCCCGTCCATCCATCTCCTTTGGACCCACTCTCGCCTCCATCGTGTTCCGTCGCTGAATGCAGATCCGCACAGGGTCCCTATTATATCCTCAGACAAACCAGCACGCACGGTCGGCGAACCATCAGATACGAATATATCGATAGGGGATAATCGGATAACGGTCTCCCTCGATCGCCACGCCTAAACACATTTCTTTGTAGACGTTCTGCTATTTCGCACGCATATACGGGCTCATCCAGAAACATGACTTATGCATCAGTGCTAACACGAGAAAAGACATCAGGTCATCATGCATGACTTTGTGAAGCCTCGTCAGCCCACCATCGAAGTAGAGCCACCCAATTGGCAAACTACGGAGCTCCCGACCTCTTTATATTCCCTTTGTTAATACGGTGTCCTGGTCTTCCACGCCCGGTAAGAAGTCCAACCCCAATCCGCCTAATGGTTCTTAATGACGGGACGGCATATTAAATGTCATTAGGTTTTGTACGGCGGATCATCTCGTAAATTTGTTTACTGAAGTAATTTCCTGTTACCATTGCAATATTGCACTAGTTCCTCGGGAAATTAGACGCTTGGTTTCCGGAGTTGCGGGAGAATATTAGGTGTGGGAAATACATTCGAGACCCACACCCACAGGTGTGGGCCATTCGACTCGTTATTTCTTGCACACAAGAAATATTATGAAACTCTGCTACATGAATAGAGGAGAATTCTCACAAGTCAGAGTTTTCTTTCAATTGTTCGGCATATCCGTTTGTCTCATCCACTACGTTGGTCACAAGCTTTTCAAGCAATTCAACCTCTCTTGCATCGTTGAGCGTATTCCTCACGCACTTGTTGTTGGTCCCTCAGTTTTCTTCGCAGGTTGCAGCACAGGCCACATGCATTTAGTTGAAGGGTTATTAAATTAAAGAACCTTGCTTTCATACAGTCAGTGCACACTTTCGTCCAGAAAACACTCTTCAAGACTGCTATTGGAAAAAAAAAATCCATTGGTTTTTTTTTTCCTACTCTTAGGATTTTTTGTGTGTACTTCATCATGATTCGTTTAATAGTTTAGCCAATCGCCCAGAATACATTACGATCACGAAAAATCCTTGATTTAGGGCAGATAAGAAGGCAGCTGAAATTATGCCTGGCTTAAAGTCTATAGCAGCAAACACACAGAGAAAAAAAAAACTCTAGCGAGCATTTGACATGGTGAAATTGTCTCAATAAAAACGTAAAATTAGAAAAAAGTAGATTCAACAAAAAATCATATACTGTATATATATAGCAGTTTTCACTGCCCATTCGCTAATTAAGCCAACCTTTTTACCTCTGCGTTCCTCACTTATAACCGATCCAATGTTCTGTTGGGAAACCCTAGGTCCCCTCATACCCCTGGAAGGTCGTCAGGACAGTACGGCATACCTGAGCATCGTTGCCGATCGGGTCCATCCCTTTATGACCACCGTTTTCCCTTTATCAGATGGATACTTTCAGCAGGACGATGCACCGTGCCACGAGGGCCGTATCGTCATGGATCGGTTCGAGGAACATGCCCAGGAGTTTACCTTGCTCCAGTGGCCCGCACAGTCCCCTGATCTCGATCCGATAGAACATCTTTGGGATGAGGTGGAACGGGCCGTGCGCGGCTTGCCTGTACTGCCATCGAACAAGCGGCAACTGAGTGACGCTGTGCTAGCAGCATGGGCCGGGATACCTGCAGAACGTTTCCACCACCTCGTGGAATCCATGCCACGACGAATTGATGCTGTTTTGAGGGCCAAAGGCGGTCCAACACGCTACTAGTGAGGTATCTCTAATTTTGTGGACATTGAGTGTATATACTGTATATACATTTTTAAAGCCAATTAATCGATTGACTTGGAAGTGTTGAAATCTAGGTATTTATCTTACTAATGAACGAAAGTGCTTTTGTGAGGCTGGATCGGTGTGACCATGTCTCTCTCTCCCCCTCTCTCTCTCTCTCTCTCTATATATATATATATATAAAGAAGAAAGTTTGTCTGTCTGTCTGTGCCTTTATGCCTCGGACCCCACAGGAGCCAGTGCAACCAAACTTTGCATGGCCTCCTCTTTCATCCAGATGAAGGTCGAGGCCTATGTTTCCATCCAAAATTTTCACTCCCGGGGTACTTTCCCGTAGGGGCGTAGTGTCTGAGACGGCATTGGGAGGAGCGACTGACTCCTGGATTCGGTGGTGCAGTGGTAGCAGACCTGACGGACGATCGGGAGGCTCGGGTTCGATTCCCGGCCGTTCCCAGTTTCTTTTTTTGCCCTCTCATTGCCATCCAACTCTCCCCTCCCGGCCACCTGCATTACAATACCCCGGGGTAATCCCATTTCTGGATCACTACAGTAGGTAGTAAGTAATATTCTTTTGATCAAGTTTTCATCGAAAATATGTTTCAAAACGATAAAAGCATTTCACCGAGAAGTTTTTTCCCTTAAAAATAATTTCGAAATAATTCAAAGCGTGCAAAAAAGTTTTTTTTTTAAGGGAAAGGGATCCGAGCGCATTTTGCGACACCCAAGATCGGTAACTTCTAGGAGACCATAAGGCTAACGTTCCCCAATTCGTCACGCGTGAAATATTGAATTTCCCCGGGCAACGCCGGATACTTCAGCTGGTAGTTCGAAACGTTATCGATCTTTTGGATAAAATGATAGCATAAACTTCCGTCAGGTTACCTGAATAATGTTCTTTTATATTTGAATTAACCTTGCAATCCTTAAATGCGACCTTTCAAGAAGTGGGGGAAAAAGCTCGGGGAAGCCTCTCATCGCGATAGAATTGAGACCCAAACAGCCTTGATTTAATCCGTCACTTCGTTTCCCGCTGCTTCTCGAAGGATATCCTCTTTCCAATCCTGACGAAACCCCGAAGACGAGACAGGAAGTGAACGATATTACGACAGATAATTAAAAAAAAAAAAGGCCAGGCCTTGCAAGGGCAGTATGGCAGGCGGTTCAAACAGGAAGAATTTAAATGAGACAGAAGGGGATGATCGAAAAAGCAAGGTGAAAAGGACCTTCCATCGCAACCCTCCATAAACTACCAGCGTAAATAGTCCGTTTCCTCTGGAATTTTATTATTATTATATATCTCCAGTTGTTGCAATCGCTCACCCCGAGAACCGTTAGGACCCAGCCACCTCGGACCGGAACCCGACTCAACATCGGAAAAACATGAAGAAGCAAGTCTCAATGCCAACTGGATCCCACAGCCTTTCTCTCCCTCCGCCTTTATCACATCTTCCACCTTTTTTTTTTTCCAACTCCTTTTTTTTTCCATCAGCGGTGGGACGAGGGCGCCCGTTCAACAGAAATGGACTTCCTAGCGGGCTTTTCAAGGCCTTCCTCTTCGTTTTTTTTTTTCGAACAACTACTCTTATTCACACAATTACTCTTTTATTCAGAACTAAATTTTATTCAATGTCAGCTAGAAGCCTGAACGAAGCGAATCGACCAATGGTCCAAGTTTTCCCATTTAACTAATTAATTTGTTATGATTGTTCTCGACCTCAACCTGTTATAGTACTGAACATTTAATTCAATCCGCATTTGCCCGCAAGGAATCCGAAAATGCATTCCGGATAAAAAAAAAGAGTAATCTACGTACAAACCCTCCTTATCCATTTTTAATCTCCGCTGTAGAAAGCAATTGCATCACTCCTTCCGCGTCACGCCGTTTTCCCCGTTGATCGAACCGATGTCCTCAAAAAGAACAGGATTGGACAATTAAAAAAAAAAAAGAACCCGAAGGATTTTTCCGAATATAAATACCGCGGATAAATACCGTCCATTTCATCACAGCACGGCGAGTCCTCGAACGACCATGCACTTCAGACTATTCTTGGTAAGTTGGAATCCCACAAGTAACAATAGGATATGACGAGGATTATGAATATGAGGGCAAGGAATTTTTCATTTCCATAACCGTTGATTCCTCCAGCTATTTTTTTTCCCCTCAAGTCACATCCATCCGATTATTTTCCTACTTGCATTTATCCCTTTTTATCTGGCTGACCACCGCTGGTTTTCTTTAAAGAAAATATGGCCCGAGTTTTTATATTCCAGGAGTTCGTCCGATAATTAGCTCAGAGTTACTTTATGTCTTGGATACGATTCCATCCCCTTCAATCTCATCTGTCAACAGAAATGACAAACTTAACACGAAAGTTGAATGTTGCCAGGCGATGGGAATCTGCCTGTTGGGGGCAGCCCAGGGCTTCCTGGACCGAGAGGAACCCGAAGAACCGGACGCGGAAGACCTCCTCAAGCTCCGACTTCTCGAGTCGCTGAGGAATTCGGGTCCGTCGAGTTTCGGAGTCCTCAGGGTGAGCCTTTCGGACCCTTTCAGGGACCTTCCTCGTATTTCCCGGCTTTCATCCAGCTTTGACCTTTCTCAGGGGTCGGGAAGTGCGAGGGGTCAGAGGCCGGCGGCCCATAGGGGCCCGGCGGCCCAAAGAGGCCCGGCGCCCCGGAGATCTGCCGCAGACAGGGCGCTTTTGGAGATCTTGGACCGTTGACCAAGTGGATCCCCATGTCCATATAAATCTTCTTGCCTGAAATTTATATTCCACAATAAAAATTTAAAATGGAAACTCGAGTTTTCTTGAAAATAATTTTCGTATTTTGCGCCGTTTCCAAAAAACAATTGCACAGAAAGGATGACCATGAGCTTGATTCGCAAGAAATTCGCTGGACGGCAGCGAGAATTGCACGACTCTTCAAAGCAGCTCGAACTCGCTCGGAGCGATGAGGAGGGGGCAGAAGAAATTATATCGACAAAGGTAGATGAATTGTTTTTAGAAAAGCTGCCCTGGAAGCTCTCAGCTGCAGGACATAGCTCATACGATCGAGTTCTTAAAATATAAAAAAAAAATAAAAAGAATGGAGCGAAAAATCGGGAAAAGGGATTGCAAGAGTAAAAAAGGCGAAATGGACATGCGAAAAGATCGTACCCCTCCGTCTTCCAGCCCATTTATGCTAATGGAACTGCACTGGAAGTGAAAATGGACTAGTAATTAATATTTATATCCATTCTGGAGGCATAACATTAAAATAGGTATTGCACATAATTATAACACACTTATAAATGCATTAGGAAAAAACTGTGTCTATTTTACATGCATCTCTCATGGTTCGTATTAATTTCCACCAGAAGCATTCCTGCAAAAAAAAAATCCCTGAAAACATTTATTCTAGCCTAACGAGCTGTCTAAAAAGCTTGGAAAGGTTTTAATAAATTTACACTACAATGTCAAAGGAATTGGGTCAAAGAACGATATAACAAGCAACTATCATTCCATGTTCAAACTCCGTCAGCTCCATTCCAATCCCGCCAATGCTGGCAAGCACCGACTGAAACAGATTACTGGCAACTGTAATGCAGTAATTTCGACTGCCACGTGACCGCTGGGATAATCTGTTATCGGCGGGAGGAGGCTTGTCCTAATAATTTTGGCAATATATTCGGTATCTTACTAAACTCTCTTCGGAAGTGACATGGACGCATAATATTCATTAGCAAAATCATTCGACTGACATCACTATTAAGTCACTTTTCCATTAAATGCAAACAATTGAACTTCCGAGGATTCGAACAGGGAATCGCTACATCACCCGATGAACGTATGAACCCCATTCAAAATGAAGTTCAGTCGTCAAGGCTACAACATCGCAGCGAGTCTGACAAGGTCAACAATATGCTCTCGAACGTGGGAAGCCGTATGGAATCCCATGTTTTTCCATTCACTCATAGATAACGATTACCTGCTCTCTCTCTCGAGTGATGGAACTGCAGCCCATCACTGGAGTCGTCGGACGTGAGCGGTGGAAAATGTTCTCCTTCCTCCCGTGTCTCCTCCACCAGGCGTCCTCCTCGGATGGTTTTGATCTGGGGGATCTCTTCCAGGGCTTTTACCCCACGGGTGGGGGGAACGTGACTGAACTCTGCAGCAACCACACCGGGGCTCTCTTCGATGAACTCAACCGAATAGATGGCATTTCCGAATGGGCGATCAAAAGTGAGTTGCGTTACTAATCGTGATTTATTTATTAATATTTATTCTTGCTCACTTATCATTTATTTATATTTGTTTCTTTAAATAATTCATGTATATATTCCTAATGGGATGTTCACTGGATGTTCCAGGGATTTCCACATCCCAGGACGATTCCATAATATCATCCATGAGATGTCATTCTGTCTCACGTAGGATCCAAATGGGATGTCCCAAAGATAATCCATTGCTATTTGGGTTCTTACACGGATGAATTTAGGGAGATGTTTAATTTTGCAACTTTTGAAAGACTGAACTTGGCAATTGAGACGTTCACATTGTATGAATGATTGCCAGTGGTGGACGCGACCGGGAAAATGCCGTCGGGGATCCTCACGGGGAACATCTGGGCGTTGGGGAACTACGAGGGCAGACGGCATCTTACCTCCTTCTCTCTACCCCCCCCCCCCCCGCCCCGCCCCGCTCCCCCCCAAAAAACATAAAAGGCCGCAGTCTTCTTTTGGGTGTGGGAATAGCCGATTTCATTTAAGTGTCCCACTTCTAATTCTCAAAACCCCCTCATTACATAGATTTGAGAAACCGTGCTTCCAACGGATGCTCAATACGTAAATCGTCTGAATGATAGAATTGTGAATTCTCCCCGTCTTCACACACGATGACAGTGTCCATGATGTCCTGTAACAATGGCACAACATACAGTTGCAACATATCAAGGTATGTTGCACTAGTGAGAGTTGGTTCTGCGAAAAAAAATAGCCCAGTAACAAGATCATGAAAAAGATCGTTCCATTCACTTGTGGGCTGTCTCTGATATCGATCACAGATTGACTTGCAGCGCCTCTGTGCCGCCCGCATTTGGCCTTAATAACTACTTTTGCAGCGACTCACAAAAGGAACTGCCTTACAACGCCTCACAGCGGAAAACTTAACGAACGACAAAGGATATTATATAGGGGGGGGGGGAGAAATTTGTCATTCTAATCTTTACCTTAAAGTAATCTTCATGGTTCTTAATTTCCCCATTGCAGAGATAATTCGATTTAACCATTCTCGGACACCCTTTATATGTATTCCTGGAAATTGAGCGGTAATAAGCATTTTGAAACCATTGAAACCATTACATCCCATTGGAGTACTTGTATTTCTGAATTAAGTGGAAAAGTGGGGTGAAATTTCGAAGTGTGGGGTGAAACTTCCTTCGCAAAATGCCTCCAACCTCCAACCCATCCGACCAACAGTTCAGAACCAGATTCCAAGAAGGAATGAGAAAGCTCCAATTAAGAGGAGGTTAGAACCCTTCAACTTGAGAAGAGATGTTCCTGTGATGTCAAATTACTGGCAAGCGTGAGTGCACAGGTCCCCCGCCCCTCACCCCAGCCGGCCAACTAACCATAGTTTCGTCAGCTGCTTTCGTCACTTTTCTCACGTCGTACCGACAATCATGGCCCAATATTTCAAGTTCTAGAAATTCTTTGCTATGGTAAACATTTTAGTGCCACGCAGACGATTCGTAGGCTGAAAATCACGATATACTGTTCTCTTCCTTCCTTTGCATTCTCTCTCCCTCTAACTTCCTCCTTCTCACGCTTTGCCTTTGAAACTTGCTTACGTGGAGGTGGGCACAGGAGAGCCGTTTCTTCTTCCACAAACGTCGTGCACCAAGCATCAGGTACCACGAGGGAACAAGCGGCCCCATGTGTCTTGGATCCGTCGGTGAACCCTCGCGGGTGCTTGCAGGTGAAGGTAACATTGCCACCAGGTTGAATTGGAGTCTCGTCATTTCCACCCTCGAAGGCTTTCTCCGCGTTCTCGATGTTTGGGTAGGGTGTCAGGCATAGGACTATACCCATGAAAGTGAAGCGGAAGAGTTCATGTCCGTGTCCATTGCACGAATCTCCAAAAGGCTGGAATATACTCATCGCCAAAAAAAGACTAGACCAAGAAGGAGTTTGACTAAAATTCGTTACACAAGCTCGTACTAGCATACTATGAAATCGATAAGAGTTTCATGTTTGTGGGATGAATATCAATAGATAAAACGTGCAAATTATTCCAATTTAAATAACGGTTGATAGGTTAATATTAATCATCCGATACGGTGACCTAGAAGGTTTTTCAAGAAAGCTCTTAACCCTTTCGTTGTCATCCCGAGTACGTACTCGTGATGCGGATGTCCATTTATCCGTGTCACGCCGAGTACGTATTTGGGGCGATATTGGTTTCAATGCTTTTGGAACGGTGCTAGCAGGAAGAAAGGGCATGGCAAAGGACCTAAAGAAAAAAAGCTGAAACAAGGTGACGTAATCACAAGATGGTGTGGTTCGCTGATGGCTCTTAAATGGAAAGAGAAGAGGGATGTAAACATATTGAGCAATTTTCATGATGCCACTTCTGTTGAAACTGGGAAAGAGAGCAGAAGAATAAACGAGAAAATAATAATAATAAACCACGTAGTGCTGGAGTGTAACATGAATATGGGTGGGGTCGATATGTCGATTCAGATGGGGGATACTTATCTAAGTACCAGTAAGGCAATGAAGTGGTACCACAAGTTCTTTTGGCACATGATAAATGTATGTGTATTCCAGGCATACAAGATAATAGTATGAACGACTCCAATGAGCAAAGGACATTATCTGATTTCCGCACGTAGCTCATCCGAGAGATGATTGAAAAGTACTAGGGAAAGGAAATCCTCTTGCTCAGCCCTCGTATAGCAGCACGAAAGAGAAAAAGAGAACTTACATTGTCTCAGATCATGAATGAAAGTTTATAAGTGCATAAAATGAAATAAAAGTATTTCATGAAAGTTTGGTTAGTTTATCTTTAACGGCTTTAATATTTATAGTACTATCTGCGAATGTTCAATAAAAGTTTGCCACCGTGGGGAGCGCACATCCATTTGGGAGGGACGCCGAAAGGGTTAAAGGGTTGCAAAAAAAAAAAGAATAATCACCACACACTTCAAACTAATCGATTTCATAGTATTCTAATATAAACTTAAGTAACAAATTACAAAATCGCTCAATTCCTTCCACAATCGCTACTAGGGGGAAGCGGAAGTAAGTTTTGGAAGTGAGGTCTTTGTGTCTGCGCATGTAATATTTCAAAATCATTATACCAAGTGACGAAAGAAAAAGAAGCACATTTCGAGAACTATTTTGCATGGGATGTTGCTGATATTTAAATTAGATTCATGAAAGTCTAAGAGTTTTTCTATGCGTCTGGTGGCGATTAATCCGATAAATCCAATAAATTTAACATGAAATTGTTACGTGCCACGGAATGAGAGTGTGTGTGGGGTGGGGTGTGGAGAAAAGTGGATTAGTACATTCTCCAGGCTAAATGCGTCTTTCAGCAGAATTACAGTGATTTTGATTTCGTATGTAACTAAATGTTACTGTGTAATGGGAATAATAAATATGAACAGGCTACAGTTGTCTGGGAACAAATAGGGCGTGAAAAAATGCACTTCGAAACATGGGATTACAACTTAGTGTCCTTACATTGGACATAGGCCATGTAGCCTTCTGGGAGGACGAGATTGCTCTGGCCGCTGTATATCAGTTGGCAGGAACCATCCAATTCCCTAAAATTGAAGGCAAAGCAAGGCCCGGATGGGTTTTCCCTCGAACATTCCCAAAGGCATGCAGCGAAGGTCTTCACCCGGATCTCCCGTGACACGTTCCCATATCGCTGCCCTCGGTGCACGCCATAGTACACAGGGAGTTCCGAGGTTAATGCAGTCGGGAAAAGGCATGATAGCACGGCTAGCGTCAGGTGACAGCCCATATCCTTTTCAAGACAGAAAAATCCCATCGATGAAAGCCATGTACATGGGAAATACACTTACTTTACCTCATGAACCACACTGAAGCACCAGATTCTGTTCCCCATGAAAATGATCAAAATGAAAGTGCATTCTTGCATGAATGAATTCAAGGGGATTCTCAATTTTGTCTCCCACGCCCGTACGGCATATATTTTGGCCGTAAAAAAAACTCTTGGAATTTTCCCACCAATACTCAAGGTTATTTTTTAAGGTGGGGGAATGAGTAAACTTGCACCATTTCACTCGGAGAAAGATGATTCTTAGAGTCGTGCAATACAAGGCGGTTGAATTTAGGCGATAATTCATGGGAGAATGATGAATCTCAGTTTGGTTCATGTTCCTAACATCAGGTTGGAAATCACTTTATGCAAGCAGGACTAGCTTAAACCTACAATAAAAAAACGCATGACCTATGGAGTTTTACCCAATTTGCAGGAATAATAATCGGAAGAGGTTGCTTCAAATGTATTATTATTACTCTTATTATTATTATTACTCTTTTGCAGAGCCGGATAGGGAGATTGTTACCCGGAATGGCAAACAAACTCCCTATAAACATACTAAAAAACTCGCTTGTTTGTTTGTCCTTCCCCCGAAGAGCAAACAAACTCGCTAGCATATATGCACTCATTGCCCGAAAATTCACGTAAAGGACTTCAGCAATCTTGGTGAAATATGTGAACATACTCTAATTTTTGTGTCATGAAATTGATGGGAGTCTTGAGATCATAGGTTGAATATTCGCAGATAAAACTTGCCAAACATCCCAATTTAAATGAAGGTCGTAACTATCGCTCACAGCGAATATCTACGAGTTTGATGAAAAAAAATGCGAAACAGGAACATCGGCTGATGTTTCGCAAAATGGAGGGGACAGGGAATAGGTAGAGAAGTTCCGCTTATCGAGATATCACGATATCGTTCGATGTTTGTCTCATCGGCGATATGTCTGCATATTGCGAGATTTTCCATTTAGAAAGAATAATATTTTTTTACTTTTCGATTGCCGCGGGAGAGGGGATACAGAGCAAACGAACCGCGCCATCTAATATATATATACGATGGTGACTGACTGACTGACGCTAATTCTAACCATGTTCTAAAAGGGCTGTAAATCTGACACTTGGTACACATGTACCTCTTGGGATCCAGAGTTCAGAAAAACTCCGACTTTGGAGGTGCATGCCCAGGGGGTACAAATTTTGGGGGGAAACGTTTTTCTTAAATATATTTTGTGACAGATGAGGATGGCATTCAGAGGATGACCTGAATGTGCTGGGTTCGGTGGTGTAGGAGTTGCATATCCAACTGGCAATCAAACGGTACGGGTTCAATTCCAGGTCGTTCCTTGCTTTTTTTTGCCTACCATGTCCTGTTACTCATTCCCCCTCCATGACATTATTTTTGCTTCAGTAAAACGGAGAGACATGGAAAGCTGAAACTTGGCATGGAAGTGCCTACCGAGACAATGAGTTCAGGAAAAATGCAACATTTTAG